AATACAAAATTTAGGTAAAGAAACAATAACCAATAAAAAAGATAATTAGTTTAAAACAACGAAAATAAATTAATTATTTTAATAAGAATAGAAAGTCAAATGTCAAAAATTTGATTAGTTTAGAAAAAAGAGATTGTGTTATATGATTATTTCATATTAAAGGAATGATTTAATTAATAACTCTATTCCTTTGGAAATACTACATTTATCTTTGTTATAATGAAAGATTCTCAAATAATTATTTAGTAACACTTATTCTTTTATTATAAACACATGATATTTTTGTTAATTCTAACAACAATTTTTTTTGAAAAAAATAGAAAGTTTGTAAAAAGCAATCTTTTTTTTAAATTTAATGTAATTTTGAGTTTGAAGGAGCAAAATCGGATGAAATTGAACATAAAATCCAATATAAAGTAAAAGAGATGTAAAAAATAGGAAGTAAAAAAAATAAAAGGAATAGTTAATAAATAGCACACGAAGAAAGAATATTTAATATAAAAAGATAAAGAAAGAAGGATATCTAATAGAATTAATCACATTGGCTTTACTTAATTCAAAAAAAAAGAAGGAAAGAAGAATAAATTGGAAGTAAAAGTGAAGAAAAAATAAAAAACATAAAGGAATAGAAGTAATTTAAATGATAAAAAGAGAGAAAAAAAAAAATAATAATAATAAAAGGAAAAACTCAGAAAGAAATTTAATAAAGTAACTTAACACCATGTTATGTTTCATTCTATTTATTAGTGTTGTTATGTCAAAGTCATTAGTTGTTGAAGTACAAAAAAGTGTTGATGGAGATTCTGCAATGTTTATGTCATATGAATTTGATAAATGTTATTATACTGATGAATTTGAGTCACAAATGTTTACACATGATGGAGATCAAATTACAATTGATTATTATGCTGAGTCATCATCATGTTCAGGGAATAAAAAAAGTGAAACATTTAATTTAAATGATAAAAAGTTTAAAGAAGAAATTTGTGATGAAAGTGAAGAAGATGACTGTGCTGTTGAAATTAAAAAAGCACCAAAACATATTGGGTTTAAAGGAGAAGGAGATGATGATGATAATTGTTCTCATCGTGATGACACAATTAGACTTTATTATACTGACAAATGTTTTAAATGTTCTGATGATAAATATTGTAATTATGAAGTTGACAATGGATGGATGTATTTAAATAAATATCCAAATGATAAATGTAATAGTAAAGAAAGAACAAAA